CTGTGTTCTCCTGTGTTCTTCTGCTTCCTCCTACTTTCTCCTGTATTCTCCTGCTTTCTCCTGTGTTCTCCTGCTTTCTCCTGTATTCTCCTGCTTTCTCCTGTGTTCTCCTGCTTTCTCCTGTGTTCTCCTGCTTTCTCAATAGCTTTCTCCTGGTTTCTCCTGTATTCTCTTGTATTCTCTTGCTTTCTCCTGTGTTCTCCTGCTTTCTCCTGTATTCTCCTGCTTTTCCTGCTTTCTCCTGTATTCTCCTGCTTTCTCCTGTATTCTCCTGCTTTCTCCTGTGTTCTCCTACTTTCTCCTGTATTCTTCTGCTTTCTCCTGTGTTCTCCTACTTTCTCCTGTATTCTCCTGCTTTCTCCTGTGTTCTACTGCTTTCTCCTGTATTCTCCTGCTTTCTCCTGTGCTCTCCTGTATTCTCCTGCTTTCTCCTGTATTCTACCGCTTTCTCCTGTGTTCTCCTGATTTCGCCTGGTTTTTCCTGTGTTATCCTGGTTTCTCCTGTGTTCTCCTGCTTTCTCCTGCGTTCCCCTGCGTTCTCCTGCTTTCTCCTGTGTTCTCCTGCTTTCTCCTGTGTTCTCCTGCTTTCTCCTGTGTTCTCCTGCTTTCTCCTGTATTCTACTGCTTTCTCCTGTATTCTCCTGTGTTCTCTTGCTTTCTCCTGTATTCTCCTACTTTCTCCTGTGTTCTCCTGCTTTCTCCTGTATTCTCCTGCTTTCTCCTGTATTCTCCTGGTTTCTCATGCTTTCTCCTGGTTTCTCCTGTATTCTCTTGTATTCTCTTGCTTTCTCCTGTATTCTCCTGCTTTTTCCTGCTTTCTCCTGTATTCTCCTGCTTTTTCCTGGTTTCTCCTGTATTCTCCTGCTTTTTCCTGTGCTCTCCTGCTTTCTCCTGTATTCTCCTGCTTTCTCCTGTATTCTACCGCTTTCTCCTGTGTTCTCCTGATTTCGCCTGGTTTTTCCTGTGTTATCCTGGTTTCTCCTGTGTTCTCCTGCTTTCTCCTGCGTTCCCCTGCGTTCTCCTGCTTTCTCCTGTGTTCTCCTGCTTTCTCCTGTATTCTCCTGCTTTCTCCTGTATTTTCCTGCTTTCTCCTGTATTCTACTGCTTTCTCCTGTATTCTCCTGTGTTCTCTTGCTTTCTCCTGTATTCTCCTGCTTTCTCCTGTGTTCTCCTGCTTTCTCCTGTGTTCTCCTGCTTTCTCCTGTATTCTCCTGTATTCTCCTGCTTTCTCCTTTGTTCTCCTGCTTTCTCCCGTATTCTCTTGCTTTCTCCTACTTTCTCCTGCATTCTCCCGTATTCTCTTGCTTTCTCCTACTTTCTCCTGTATTCTCCTGGTTTCTCCTGTGTTATCCTACTTTCTCCTGCTTTCTCTTGGATTCTCCTGGTTTCTCCTGCTTCCTCCTGGTTTCTCCTGTATTCTCCTGGTTTCTCCTGTATTGTCCTGCTTTCTCCTGCTTTCTCCTGTGTTCTCCTACTTTCTCCTGTATTCTCCTGCTTTCTCCTGTATTCTCCTGTATTCTCCTGTATTCTCCTGCTTTCTCCTGTGTTCTCCTGCTTTCTCCTGTGTTCTCCTGCTTTCTCCTGTGTTCTCTTGCATTCTCCTGCTATCTCCTGTGTTCTCTTGCATTCTCCTGCTTTCTCGTTTATTTTACTATATTCTGTTACGTTATTACGTATTTGCAAGGTATCTGCATGTATAAGCACCTCATTTACATACTCGGGACAAAATAAATGGTCCCTTTACCCTTGACTGTGACCCACCGTGGCCCCCACCCACCCACGCTCATTCCTTCTACACACTGTTACTGTGTTTCAGCAAAGAAACAAGAAGAAGAGAGTGAAATAAGTGAGTGAGTGGTCGATAATAAGGATGTTACGTATAACCAATTTACGTATAAAGTCCTTGCACGTGATCAGCACCCCACCGCGGCCTCGTGTTGTTCTGGCATGGTTGTTTTTCTACCTCCATGGTTCTGGCTGAAGTCAACTTCTCTATAACCCAACTCCCTATAACCTCCTTGGTGACAATACGTCTATTCTTAGAGTGAATTTAATCAAATTACAATAACAGTCGCCCTCGGTTAATGCTACACGTCATATGTCAACAAAAGTCGGTCACTCAGATCAGTGTCCGACGAAGGCCCAGACTTGTATGGAAAAGTAGATCATCAGGCGACGAAAATTGAAAGTGAAAAAACGACCAATCGATCAAACTTTATTGTGCAACAGAGTATACGTAAACTATTATACATATAGCAAGTTACAAAACTAAACTGCTCCGATCAAGGACGTCCTTGGTCTAAGTTGGTGTAGCAAGACAACTAGTCACTGTCCGTATTTAGTGACTCGAGAAGAAGATTACCAAGTTCTCGACCTGTCTTTTAAGGTTTAACCATGAGTGGCAGTGTTCGGTTACATTGGAGTTCCTGAGTTAAAAAATGTTTCATTTTCAGTTCAGTCCTAGTCACAAAGGGCCACAAAGTTGTGACAGAATGTCAATGTTACGTAGTTCACAAATCATAAAATACTTTAATACACCATGACATTTTGGTGTCGATATTCGAAATAACACAGCACAATGCACAGCAAAAATTCCAAAGCACTAATCTCCAAGCAGATCCCTTTCGGTGGCAAAAAGACAGTATCAAATTGGCCAGGCAGTATCCATTAGCCAGAGAAGGTCACCGGCCACCGATGGGGTGGTCGAGGTAGCGACAAAAAAAAAAACAGCCATATATAAAAAGGTAGCGATCATTCCCCCACAACCTCTGCTTGGAGAGTACCTAAGCACAACACCGTGAATTTCTACAAATGTATATGACGACATCGAGCCTCAGCGCAGAGAAGATGCGGCTTCAGTGGCGTCAAGCGTGTTCACCAGCTCTGAAGACGGCTTGTCTACTTCGGCGAGGGCGTCCTTGAAGCGACCAATTGATCCTGGGCCCTTGGACGACAAGGTGTCAAGCAGATTTCTAACCTTGTCCTGTATAAAATAAAGACACAACATCACCAAACCTTTCTCAATATGTCTCAATATGTCAGCTAGCCCTACTAAGAATATAATACGACCTGCACATGTAACATTGCGGTCGTGGTTAGTGCACTCGTCTTGTCCTGCTAGTTATTTATGCCCTCGGGTATGTTTTGCAATAAAGTCATTATCATTATCCAAAATAAACTCAGCAAGATTTGTTACACTCCAGAGTTGCTGTATCCTGTTTAATGAATCATTCGCATGGTACACGTGACTATTAAGCAAACTACGTTTGTCTAAGAATAGATGTGTCATTTTTTTAACCATAACAGTTCTAGTTCTACGGAATAGCTTATTCCGTAAAAAAAAGGTTGCATAACCAAACCACTACTGGTTATACTCGTATTTCCACCTTCCAGGTGGTTAGACAGAGAGAGAAAGAGAGAGGAGACAGGGGAAGAGACTACTAGCAATGCATCCCTACCTTCCTGGTTTTTCCGTCGTTCAAGATCAAATCCACCTCTTCTTCTATTAAGTCTCTCTTGGCCAGCAAGGTGTCTAAAACTTGTTTGAGAGTCGTGGGGGTTATGCCGCTCAACAACTCCACTCGGTATTTCCTCAAAAATTCTCCATCCCAGGGTATTCCCCCCGGAGCACCGAGCTGCATTCTCTGGGCGTTCATTTTTTGTCGGATTTGACAGCAAACTTAACTGACATAAAGCTAGACACCAAAACGTTTGCAGAGCGCCACTGCCGGAAGTAAGGTGGGACCTGGCAAACGCGGTGTGTTGAGCCGGATTGCTTTCACTTTTGGCAAAGCATCACGGGAACAGGCGACTTACTGGATGAGAGCGACTAAATGGGGGCCTAACTGGGTCAAGGCCTACTATACAGATACAGATACAGAAGGCAATTTGCTTCAGACTTGGCCTAAGGCCGTGTTCATGTGAAGTCAATGAAGGCGCTTTACATGTGGTTTACCCCGAAGCCGGTTTCAAGTGGCTCCATCTGAACGCTCCAAATCACATTGAAAGCGCCTCGATCCCAAACCACTTCTAGAGGTGGTTCTTAATCGGTTTTCCCGCATCGCGATTTGCGTCTTAACTCAATGTGATTTCAATGTGACTTCACTTGGTCATGGATTACGGGGTGATATTTCTTTATATATATTATTTATATACAATACCAAATTTAACGTGTCGGCAACTTAAAGAGTAGTAATGTACTCTCCAAGCAGAGGTTGGTGGGGAAAATTGTGACATTCTTTATCATGCGCCCGGTTTTTGTCCGCCCTCCCCACCAAGAATGTCACAATTTTCCCCACCAACCTCTGCTTGGAGAGTAGAGCTTCAGCGCCTCTGGCGGGACTACGTCGGCATTCGGCCGAGATACGCTTGGAGGGGGGCACCAGCAACCAGGTCGTTGACCTATAACGATAATGACACGCTACCTAGCCTGTTTTCATCAAACAACAATGAATGTAGTTTCGCAGAATCGTGATCGGGCACGTTTCAAAAGGAATGTATGGCACGTGGACCAGATGTGAGGAATGTGAGTTACCCGAATCGCGGTTTGGGTA